GCTGAACAAAACTATCCTATTCATGAAAAGGAATTACTTGCTATTGTACATGCAATTAAACTTTGGAGGCCTTATTTTGAAGGATAACGTTTTATTGTAATTACTGATCATATATCTTTGGAGTGTATAAAAACACAACATAATATATCACATCGACAAGCTCACTGGCTTGAAATCTTACAAGCAAATAACTTTGAAGTTCGATACAAACTAAGCAAAACAAATATTGTAGCTGATGCATTATCTCGCCAACCTCATCTTGCAAATATCACAACACTTTCTATCTAACTGGATGAAAACTTAAAGGAAAAATATCAAGAGGATTCTTATTTTTCTGAAGTTTGAAAATTTTTAACAAATCCTACTACTACACCTGAAAAACAACTTGCACGATCTCATAATTTTGAATTAAGTGATAACAAAATCTATTTTAAAGGAACAACTAGACTGGCTATACTAAATAACACAGAACTTAGAAAACAAATCTTAATAGAACACCATGATATTGATATCTCTGGACATGTTGGTATTGATAAAACCTATAAAAATATCTCTTGAAACTTCTACTGGTCTAAATTATCTAAGGATATTAAAAGATATATCTTAAGTTGTGATCAATATCAAAGGAATAAAGGAAGCAATCAACAACCTGCAGGACTCCTACAACCCTTGGAAATTCCAAAACACTGCTGGGAACAAATGGCTATAGACTTTATAGTACAACTACCTCTAACACGTCAAGAAAATAATGCTATTATAGTCTTTACTGACCGCCTAATCAAATGAGCTTACTTTCAATCTATATATACTAGTTAAGTTGAATACAGAGATCATTTCTTGTTATGAAGAAAGTAGCATCTCTCCATTTTGTGAGCTAATTCAGTTATCTACAAGAATTCTAGTATTCAAAGTAGATCTTTAATCTTTTGTAAAGTTTTCTTCAGGCATACTTTTAAGAATACAAGCATAATTAGGATCATCTAATTGACATATTTGTTTTTTTTAGAATTATAACACATTTAATATTTAGCTAAAGATTTCTCTCTGTAATATTATCAACAAAGCAGGTGTTAACTGATAAAGATTTTCATTTTGAGGAACTTTGATATTTGGTTATAGACTGTGTATTAAATTGAGTAGACATATGAGTGAATCTGTCTGATACATATAAGGCAAAGTCTAAAACCAGAGGTAATTGCATAAAATCACTAGCAAACAAAATATTAATTTCAGTAAAAAAGGTATCATCATCTGTTGCTTTTACTTTTTTCATAAAAGTATGAAGCTGAATAAAGAGTTTTTGACCAACTATAGAAATTTCATCTATAATGAGATACTTTATTAGTGTTCAGTAATCTTGAAATTGCTATAATGATTCTCCAGATAAACTATGCTATTTTTGAAAGATTCTTCAAAACCAAATCTATATACAGAATAAAGAGTATTTTCTCCAATTTTAGCAGCAGTGCTTTCTGTTGTAGCTAAAACAAGAAGGGTATTTCTTTAAGAATTAAATTTAAAGTAAGAACAAATGGTATTGATGACTTTAGATTTACTCATGCTATCTACACTAGTAAGAAATAATTGTAGTTGCGATAGTTTATTTTTACTCATCGAATAGTTTCTTCAATGATGATCACAAACAAGAAAGAAAGCCTTTTTATGTTCATTTTTTAAATCAGATGTGAATCGTTCTAAAAGATCATAATATTTTTTCATAAGTATATTTAGAAGAGTGTTATGATAATTGTTATTTAGGGAACTGGTATTAGTATTTAGCAAAGTATTATCTTCTGTAATGTTATTATTAGAAATTTTTTAAAAAGTTTTTCAAAAAATAACTGTTAAGTGCCAAACTTTTAAGAGTTCATTATCATATTTATCACTTTGACGTATGCTTTGTAACTTACTATTATTATTAATTTTCATAGTATATGAACTTATTGATAATACAGGATTTCTTGTATTAAATCTTTCTCTAAGTCATAAAAAGCTTATAGCGTCATTAACTATTTTTA